TTTGTTACATTCAAGACTTTGTCTCTGGGTCGTGCATTTGGGTTCTCCAGTTTGTGTCGAGGTCGTGACACTGTTTTTAATCGGTGCTGACATTACATTACATGTTAGACGCTTTGATCCTAAGAGACTTACATACTCAATACTGTGGGCAATCCCCACCAGGAGCACTTGGGTGTTGAAGTGTCTCAGGGAACAACGACATCTGACCTGCAGTGGGGTTTGAACCTGTGCCCCCCCCTGATCCGAACGTCCAAACGCCACTAGTCCACTGCGCCACAACTCCTCCCAGACAAAACCCCTTGTAAGGTCATAGAGGTCATTAAGGCTTTATGGTCCTCCTAAACAGGCCATCAAGGTTATAATACTAAAGTTAAAGTTAATTGAGCTGCAAGATATGTAAAAAAAACACAAAAAAAAACAAGCAATAATGCCCAAATTGAAGCATGTTAAAATCTACAATACTCTTTTTACTAATACATTAAAAAAAACATAACAAAAATTAATTTAAATAGTTCTAAAAAAATACTAAAGTAGAACTAATAATAACAATTATTACACACACACACACCACACACACACACACACACACACACACACACACACCACACACACACACACACACACACACACACCATGTATACATCACTTCAGGGGACATTACATTGACTTACATGCATGTCCTGGAGACTTATCCTAACCTTAACCCTAACCAAGTCTTCACCCCTAAAATAATGATTCCCCTTATGGGGACCTCCATTCTGTCCCCATAAGGGAGGCAAGTCCCCACACGGGACAGATTTAGGTCCCCACAAGATTATAGTAATGCTTAGCCACACATACCACGCACCACACGCCACGCACGCACGCAGCACACACACACACACACACAACACACACAACACACACACACACCCACACACACACACACACAAGATGGGGCCACAGGTGGAAACAATCAGGGGCAGGAACAACAATCAGGCTGACAGGTGACACACAAGGGCGGGGAAGTGAAGACCCTGAAACAAGAGGGTAGATCATTTTACCAAAATAAACGGAAAGGGTTTTAGGAACACAAGACATTAAACTAAAGGATTTTAACGCTGACAACCTTACACTCAGCATGTCATGTCTCTTGGATCTGCTGAGCGTCAAAAAGGAAATTCAATGTAATAATTAAAGCTTTACACACTCCTTAACATCTGGGGTTTTCTTAGCATTGCTAGTGGATCAGATGTGTCAGAAAAGGAGAGTAGTTTAACTGTAAAATGTAAGCTCAGAGCATTTAGGATACCCTGCGTTTCACTTCTTAGAAAAGACTGATTTGGATTGATTGCACATTTTATCAACAGTTTACTGAAACGGCTTTGCATGATTTTCTCCCTGCTCACACAGAAACTGGAGGAATATGATTATGTTTGAATGTTCCCATGAAATCAGAGCCCATTCTTCTCTTTCCATTTGACGCTTCAGGCTTACATTTCACATTAGGGAATGCAAATTTGACTGTGAAAAAATAATTGTTATTACTCAGGTGTATATCAGTATGTAGTGTCTCTACTTTAAAGAGTCCTCTCCTGCTGATGTTCAGGTGTATATCAGTATGTAGTGTCTCTACTTTAAAGAGTCCTCTCCTGCTGATGATCAGGTGTATATCAGTATGTAGTGTCTCTACTTTAAGAGTCCTCTCCTGCTGATGTTCAGGTGTATATCAGTATGCAGTGTCTCTACTTTAAAGAGTCCTCTCCTGCCTGATGTTCAGGTGTCTATCAGTATGTAGTGTCTCTACTTTAAAGAGTCCTCTCCTGCTGATGTTCAGGTGTATATCAGTATGTAGTATCTCTACTTTAAAGAGTCCCTCTCCTGCGGATGTCAGGTGTATATCAGTATGTAGTGTCTCTACTTTAAATGAGTCCTCTCCTGCTGATGTTCAGGTGTATATCAGTATGTAGTGTCTCTACTTTAAAGAGTCCTCTCCTGCTGATGTTCAGTGTATATCAGTATGTAGTCTCTAATTTAAAGATTCCCTCTCCTGCGGATGTTCAGGGTGTATATCAGTATGTAGTGTCTCTACTTTAAAGAGTCCTCTCCTGCTGAGGTTCAGGTGTATATCAGTATGTAGTGTCTCTACTTTAAAGAGTCCTCTCCTGCTGATGTTCAGGTGGTATATCAGGTATGTAGTGTCTCTACTTTAAAGAGTCCTCTCCTGCTGATGTTCAGGTGTATATCAGTATGTAGTCTCTACTTTTAAAGAGTCCTCTCCTGCTGATGTTCAGGTGTATATCAGTATGTAGTCTCTACTTTAAAGAGTTCCCTCTCCTGCTGATGTTTCAGGTGTATAATCCGTGTGTAGTTTCTCTACTTTAAAGAGTCCTCTCCTGCTGATGTTCAGGTGGTATATCAGTATGTAGTGTCTCTACTTTAAAGAGTCCTCTCCTGCTGATGTTCAGGTGTATATCAGTATGTAGTCTCTACTTTAAAGAGTCCTCTCCTGCTGATGTTCAGGTGTATATCAGTATGTAGCAGTGACGTGCGGTGAGGTTCATGGCTGGTGAGGCACTGACTCTTTCAGAGTCAGATTTACAAATATTATAGCCTATTTGACCTTAATCGAAATATTCTGTTATTTTCAAAAGCTTTTTTAGTCTGATGCTATGATTAATTTTAAACAGACCGATCAACAAAAGGATACCCAAAATCTAAATATTGGATTGTTCTTTCTAAGTAAGATCCCATTTTCATTACAGTTGTGGTCTTACCTTGACTTGAAGATGAATATAAGTCCATGCTATCCTCTGGACAACAATCTCTATTACTGTTTTGTAAAAGTCCTCCGTATCTTCCTGTAGTTTCAAAAGTCTAGTTTGTTGTTTGCGGTAGAATAACAGTAGCAACAAGAACCTGTGGGCTCACGTGCGCCCCCTTCAGTGCGGCAGAGGTTATGGCTGCCTCTCCTGGTGCTTTTTTTCATTGCCGTTGTACGAGAGGACCAGCGAGCCTAAATATCATATATACGTGAAATAAGTTATTTAGAGACTATGGATGGCGAGGATAAATGTAATAAAGGGATCTACAAACATTACATTGGTGACCTACAGTGAGATGGTAACAGGCATGCGCTTAGGGCCCGCTTTCCAGCCAGTTTCTGTGGGGTGACGCATTCTGAGGTGAGGCAGATCTCATCTGTGCCTCACCTGAGAATGCGTCACCCCACAGTAAATGGCTTGAGCGCGCTCACAAAATAAGTGCCCGCGCTAAATTAGTGCCCGCGCTCCAGCAAGTTACTGTGGGCTTACGAGAGGCAGTGCTCGTGCTTGCCTCACTTCTCATCGCTCCCGTAGCGGAGCTCGGCAAATTTGCTGATTTTGACTATAAAATGCGATTGGAATCATACAGAAATCACATTTACACAAGATCAGTGGAGACATTTTATTATTATTATTATTTAGTTTTTCTTTAATTGTTTTTCCGTTACATTGGCGTATGACAGGTGAGGCTCTGCCTCCCCTGCCTCCACTGACTGCACGTCGCTGGTATGTAGTGTCTCTACTTTAAAGAGTCCTCTCCTGCTGATGTTCAGGTGTATATCAGTATGTAGTGTCTCTACTTTAAAGAGTCCTCTCCTGCTGATGTTCACGTGTATATCAGTATGTAGTGTCTCTACTTTAAAGAGTCCTCTCCTGCTGATGTTCAGGTGTATATCAGTATGTAATGTCTCTACTTTAAAGAGTCCTCTCCTGCTGATGTTCAGGTGTATATCAGTATGTAGTGTCTCTACTTTAAAGAGTCCTCTCCTGCTGATGTTCAGGTGTATATCAGTATGTAGTGTCTCTACTTTAAAGAGTCCTCTCCTGCTGATGTTCAGGTGTATATCAGTATGTAGTGTCTCTACTTTAAAGAGTCCTCTCCTGCTGATGTTCAGGTGTATATCAGTATGTAGTGTCTCTACTTTAAAGAGTCCTCTCCTGCTGATGTTCAGGTGTATATCAGTATGTAGTGTCTCTACTTTAAAGAGTCCTCTCCTGCTGATGTTCAGGTGTATATCAGTATGTAGTGTCTCTACTTTAAAGAGTCCTCTCCTGCTGATGTTCAGGTGTATATCAGTATGTAGTGTCTCTACTTTAAAGAGTCCTCTCCTGCTGATGTTCAGGTGTATATCAGTATGTAGTGTCCCTACAATGTGTTGGAGTGCTAGCCAATAGGAGCGTGGGTGTTCTATAGTGTCTATAGTGTCACTATGTTAGTAAACAAAGGAGTCCAATGGAGGCGTTTAAGGACATTAGGAAGTTTCAGACTATTTACATCCACAAAAACCTATATAATATAACTCACTACAGGAAAGCCTAATAAGGCCATTTAAGGAAGTTAGAGAAAGTGAAGAAGAAAGTAAAGACAGAATTTTGGTCTCAGGCCTTTTTGGATTTTATCCACGGACATGTGCGTGGGCTGTCTGACTAACAACTGCTGAGAAAAGACCATAGCTGGAGAAAACTTCAAATGAAAGAAAGCCCCTGAACCACTCATCACTTTAAATAAAATGGATTGAATATAAAATATTCCGTCTGATCTAGATTTGCAGCTTTAATATGGAGTTGGCCTCGGGGGGTTTGCTTGTTTGCTTGTAATTTGCATGAACATATTATACTTACTTCATCTTTCCCAACATTTTATCCCTGGTTTTGGATCATTTTTTAAAGGATGAACAAACAAACACAATGTAAGATTGGTTTACATTATAGGGCATCTAGTCATTTACAAATGCAGTAATTATTCATATGTGTTAATTGTTTTAAAAATAACTGCGATTATTGTGTTATTTATATCAAATATGCATTATTATGTATACATACTCCATCACAGACAAAAGTGTATTTTTTCTTTTTTAATTTCTATAATAATATGTATAAATGTACAAAACTACATTTCCCAGATTTCTTGCGACCGTCGTGCTGTGGTAAACGGAAGCAGCTTGTAAACATTGGTCGCTTGTTTGTAATAACCAGCGTACACCGAACAGATCCAACCGGGCGGAGACAACAGTAGATATAAAAATGGGGTACACTGTAGTGTCTATCGGTTTACCTGCTCAACAAACAACCGTTTAAAGAGCCATTTAATTAATAATATCCGAATTATTTGCATTTCATTAATGTGTTTTTGACTGTTTCTAGGTTTCTTCGGGTACGCCTTTGGATATATCAAACACTTGTAGCGGCTAACTTTAGCTAACTCTAGCATCCTTCAGCAGAGTGACCTGTCACCGACTCGGGAGCAAAGGTACGCGGAACTGTTTTTAGAAATAACTTTTTAATGTACGTTTGTTCACTGATATCAATTAAAGCAAACTGCAGCTACTTCAGGTTTGTTGTTATGACCTCCATAGCGGCACTGGACATAAAGCAGGTTAGCAGCCTAGTAGCTTTCAAAGGTGTAAAGTAACTAAGTAGATTTACTCAACTACAAGTACAATTTTGAGGTACTTGTACTTTACTTGAGTATTTCCATGTTATGCTAGTTTGTACTTCTACTCCACTTCAATTCCGAAATAAATGGTGTACTTACTTTACTCCACTACATGATGTATTTAATACCTTTAGTTACTTCACAGATCTGGATGAATGATGTGAAATATAATCAAGTGTTAAATCAGACTTTAGTTCCACCTGGAGTAAATCCACAAGCTACCCTGCAGTATACAAAGTCATTCAAACTAGCTGCACCTTTACCAGCTTTGAGAACACTTTCATGATCAACCATTATAAAACATATCATATATATTATTCTGAAATGGACCAATCTGCACAATGAGTACTTTTACTGTCGCTACTTTCACTATATTTTGATGAGAATACTTTCCTACTTTTACTTGAGGAACATTTTGAATGCAGGACTTTTACTGTAACAGAGTATTCCTACACTCTGGTACTCTACTTTTACTCAAGTACAAGATCTGAGTACTTCTACTTTTACTCAAGTACAAGATCTGTGTACTTCTACTTTTACTCAAGTACAATATCTGAGTACTTCTACTTTTACTCAAGTACCAGATCTGAGTACTTCTACTTTTACTCAAGTACCAGATCTGAGTACTTCTACTTTTACTCAAGTACAAGATCTGAGTACTTCTACTTTTACTCAAGTACCAGATCTGAGTACTTTTCCCACCTCTGCTTAGTACACAACATTTCTGGTAACTAGTATTTTTAACTGAGCGTTACATGTTTTACTTCAGACCTGATTGGTTGTAGGACTTCATTAATACATAACTTTGTACTTTGGTAAGTAGATAACAGATAGTGTCAAAGTCTAAATGTCATTTGTACACCATGCACACAATTCAGTTACTATTTGTCTGGCTGATATATTTTAAAAGTTCACTCACTTTTAGCATTTTTCACTATTTTTCAGTCTGAATTAAGTCATTGTTAGCAATATTTTTATAGGTAGAAAATAAACTGTTAAAATACCAACTTGTGTTTTACATGCACGACTATCAACATTCTGCGTTTATAGGGCAGAATTTAATGCTGGGAAATTTGAATTAGTTTTTTTCAGTTTTGGGCTATAATAATTAGTTAAATGTTCTCAATATTAAAAAATAAAGAGAGTGCCCCGCAAACTCAACTGCAGGTTAATGGGTTTAAGGGTTGCAGTAGAAGTTATAGGAAATACATTTGAAAAAGTAAATTCCTCAAAAGTAATTTAAAATAAGATATTGATGTAGCACCCTGAGGGGCTTTAACAGCCAACAGTAAATACATATCTTCGAGGTCCAGGCTTTAAAAGTAATAAGGAACATCTTAAAATCAATCCAAAAACCACTGTAAGGTTATTAAAACTGGACCCATGTGTTCTCTACTCTTGAGGTTTTTTAGGAGTCTTTATTAAAGTCATTAAAGCTCAGATTTGGTTCGTTCTTGGACATTGGGATATTTGAAAATCCAACTATAATTCCATTTCCTATTTATAGTAATTGATCCAACCCACTGGTGGCAGATTGTAGGGTTTTAAGGGTTAAAGGAGGAATTATAGGAAGGTCTTTTGATAAAAAAAACAACCTTCAAAAGTAATTTCAGAGAAGATGGTAATGTAGCATCCTTAAATATCTTCTTGGATATTTGAAAATCCAACTGTAATTTCATTTTCTATTCAGTTTCGGGTTATAGTAATTGGTCCAAACCACTGGTGGCAGGTTGTAATGTTTTAAGGGTTAAAGGAGAAATGATAGGAATGTTTTTTGGAATTAAAAAAGTGATATAGCATCCTTAGTTACTAAATATCTCCTCGGGTCAGGCTGAGTACTTCTACTTTTACTCAAGTACAAGATCTGAGTACTTCTACTTTTACTCAAGTACAAGATCTGAGTACTTCTACTTTTACTCAAGTACAAGACCTGAGTACTTCTACTTTTACTCAAGTACAAGATCTGAGTACTTCTACTTTTACTCAAGTACAAGATCTGAGTACTTCTACTTTTACTCAAGTACAAGATCTGAGTACTTCTACTTTTACTCAAGTACAAGACCTGAGTACTTCTACTTTTACTCAAGTACAAGATCTGAGTACTTCTACTTTTACTCAAGTACAAGATCTGAGTACTTCTACTTTTTACTCAAGTACAAGATCTGAGTACTTCTACTTTTACTCAAGTACAAGATCTGAGTACTTCTACTTTTACTCAAGTACAAGATCTGAGTACTTCTACTTTTACTCAAGAACAAGATCTGAGTACTTCTACTTTTACTCAAGTACAAGATCTGAGTACTTCTCCTTTTACTCAAGTACCAGATCTGAGTACTTCTACTTTTACTCAAGTACCAGATCTGAGTACTTCTACTTTTACTCAAGAACAAGATCTGAGTACTTCTACTTTTACTCAAGTACAAGTCCTGAGTACTTCTACTTTTACTCAAGTACAGTAATTGGTCCAACCCTCTGGCAGGTTGTAGGGTTTTAAGGGTTAAAAGAGAAATTATAGGAAAGTATTTTTGATTTAAAAAAGGGATAATACAGTACCTTCGAGGTCCAGGCTTTAAAAGTAATAAGTAGAATCTTAAATAACAAATAATAATAATAATAGATTACATTTGTATAGCGCCTTTCAAGGGACCTAAGGCATGGTGTGAGCAATCAAGAAGGGCAAATAATAAAGTACAAATTAAATAAATAGAAGTCGGGGTGGGTTAGGGGTCGAAGGCCATGGTGAACAGGTGAGTTTTTAATGAAGACATGAAATGGCAGTTACATCATTAAAACTCCTTCTCTCTCCTTGTAGTTTCCCCCCCAGTCTTCCTCCCATCATGGCTCTGGCTGGAGTGCGAGTGATCGAGCTGGCCGGCCTCGCTCCGGCTCCGTTTTGTGGGATGATTCTGGCTGATTTCGGGGCGAAGGTGATCCGTGTCGACCGCACCAAGACGGGCATGTCTCTGGACACCCAGGCCCGAGGGAAACGGTCCGTCGCCATCAATCTGAAAACATCTGAGGGCGTCACTCTGCTGAAGAAACTCTGCCTTCAGTCTGACGTCGTGCTCGAGCCCTACAGGAAAGGTGAGGGGAAACGGCACTGGTATTAAGCAACACGTGTAAATAACTCTGATTATGTCTGGGCTTACAAAAAGCATGCACAAAATAGCTTCTTCATATTGGTACATATTTACATTGCATTCAATAGGGATGTGCCATGCTTCTGGTTTTGAATTTGTGACGAGCGAGAGTACATTCAGAAAAACATACCATACATTAAAGTGGACCTATCATGCTATATTTGAATAATATAGTGTAGGACCATACCTATATAAGGCATATTTATACTTTTTTTTTTTCAAAATACCAAACAGATCATGCATTTTAGCCATGCCTCATTTCGCTCAATTTGACATTTTTTAGATCTGTTTTAGCAAGGGCTGATTCAGTGAGAACAGCACCATCTACAGGCCTGGCATATGTACTACAGCGTCTCCAGCGCTTTTGAACGGCAATGGCCGTGGCTGTCTCCTCCTGATTGGTGGAGTTGGCCCAATAGCCGTAGCGCCACCGTCCTGACGTCAGGACAGTGTTCAAATCTGGATCAGTTTTTATCAGATCCGTTGCAGCCCCTTTTTTAGAGATTTGGGTATGGAGGAAAATAGAGAGGGTTGTGTTTTCTGACACTTGGTGATTTCCCTGGAACACCGGGGACACATATTCATGTAGAAATGACGTACACAAGTGCATTTTGCATGATAGGTCCCCTTTAAATGGGTGTCTAGCAATCAGAGAGTTAGTGGTTCAATCTCCATGCATGCATTCAACATTTAAAAGTATCCTTTGGTAAGGTGCTGAACCAAAATTGCTCCCGTAGGCATGATTGAAGTGTATATACATTTTTCGCCCCAAAAAGCCTGAAGACAACAGATGAATAATTAGTTTACATTATTTGCACATATAGCCTAACATTGATGATGTGAATACAAAGAGCAGTTTCAGAAAACATTTTGAGGTTTAATTAAATCAATGTATTCACAAGTTAGAAAGTAATTCCATTTTAATTATAATTGAAAGTGTGTGTGTGTGGTGTGTGTGTGTGTGTGTGTGTGTGTGTGTGTGTGTGTGTGTGTGTGTGTGTGTGTGTGTGTGTGTGTGTGTGTGTGTGTGTGTGTGTGTGTGTGTGTGTGTGTGTGTGGTGTGTGTGTGTGTGTGTGTGTGTGTGTGTGTGTGTGTGTGTGTGTGTGTGTGTGTGTGTGGTGTGTGTGTGTGTGTGTGTGTGTGTGTGTGTGTGTGTGTGTGTGTGTGTGTGTGTGTGTGTGTGTGTGTGTGTGTGTGTGTGTGTGTGTGTGTGTGAAAAGGGGGCTTCTAATTGGCTACAGCCCATCTGTTGCTGCTATGGTTACCAGCCGCTGATGAATAATGATGTTTCAGGTGTGATGGAGAAACTGGGCCTCGGTCCACAGGAACTTCTGAAGGAAAATCCTCGTCTGATTTACGCTCGACTGACGGGATACGGACAGAGCGGATCGTACGCTTCTGCTGCCGGACACGACATCAACTACCTCGCCATGTCAGGTAACGACACAAGCACTAACCAATCAGAGCTCTTTAAAGTAGAGACACTACATACTGATATACACCTGAACATCAGCAGGAGAGGACTCTTTAAAGTAGAGACACTACATACTGATATACACCTGAACATCAGCAGGAGAGGACTCTTTAAAGTAGAGACACTACATACTGATATACACCTGAACATCAGCAGGAGAGGACTCTTTAAAGTAGAGACACTACATACTGATATACACCTGGACATCAGCAGGAGAGGACTCTTTAAAGTAGAGACACTACATACTGATATACACCTGAACATCAGCAGGAGAGTACTCTTTAAAGTAGAGACACTACATACTGTTATACACCTGAACATCAGCAGGAGAGGACTCTTTAAAGTAGAGACACTACATACTGATATACACCTGAACATCAGCAGGAGAGGACTCTTTTAAAGTAGAGACACTACATACTGATATACACCTGAACATCAGCAGGAGAGGACTCTTTAAAGTAGAGACACTACATACTGATATACACCTGAACATCAGCAGGAGAGGACTCTTTAAAGTAGAGACACTACATACTGATATACACCTGAACATCAGCAGGAGAGGACTCTTTAAAGTAGAGACACTACTATATACACCTGAACATCAGCAGGAGAGGACTCTTTAAAGTAGAGACACTACATACTGATATACACCTGGACATCAGCAGGAGAGGACTCTTTAAAGTGTGTCAAATACTGTGTTACACAAATCAGTAACCTTGCAAACTACAACCAATCAATAGCAGCCTTCAATACAACTGTAACATAAATGACTGCCTACTCACTGGGAGGCGCCATTTATAAAAATAAAACCAATTTAAACCCAGACACAAAAGTTCCTAACACTGTCATTCAGTGTCAGGTATGTAACTTGCAATACAAAACAAATTGCAGTGCTTTAAAAGTCGTAATTATGAACTCTAAAATGACAGCTTTGACAGACAGTCTTTTGTCCGCTGTTCTGAGTTCTTTGTTGCACATAATGATGAACCTTCTTGTCACAATAGGCATATTATAAACCCATCCAATAGGGATGTATGAGTCATTGAGAGGACTAAAATAATCTGTTATCACCTTTTTAATGCTCTGCAAACACACACCGCTAATTATACTGTTTTTGCAGCACATAAAGAGCCTGAATGTGTTTATTATAATTGTTTTTATTATGTATTTATATTAAAGATACCACTGGAGATATGGTAATTTGGCCTGTGAGGTCGTTGCGTTTAATGAAGATATATTGAAAACTATTTCCCCCCTAAAGCTTTGCATTCCCGACTCTCTAATATCATTTTGTAATATAGTTTCTTACGCAATCTTTAACATCTCCCTCTTGTAATGCAACTCTCAAAGTACAACATTTCACATAATAACGGTGCTTTACTGAGGTCCTGGAGCTGTGCATGTATGCTTACTTCATTTTAAATCCATCTCTCGCATTATTATCGCTCTACATGATTTGTTTCTGTAATAAAACGGCTGCTTTTTTATGTGTGTTGCACAGTGTGCTTGTTAGTTAGCGACTCTGTGTTTTGCAGCATGAATAAATTGAGTAATGACTTCAATACAAGTCAAAGCAAAACACGATTTTTAAGAACACAACGATCCCCAGAAAACAAATGATCCAATAATACTGAGCTTTAATTCAGCATGGAAACAAACTATAAAGACTTGCTGTTAAAATGACCTTCATATGGTTTAAGTCTGTGGCCTGATAATACATGTATGTTCAGATTAATGAAGTTATTTACAGGTGTTTATACTGTACATTATAGTTTATAAATCCTATGAGGAACAAAGTAGACGGCTAAATCCGACACAACTTTTGAGATGAGCCACACCACCACTAGTGTCAAATAAATAGCATTATCATCGTTACAAACACTTTCTACTACATCCATCCATCCATCATCCATCCATCCATCCATCCCACCTATCATCCATCTATCCATCCATCTATCCATCCATCTATCCATCCATCCATCCATCCTTCTATCCATCCATCCATCCATCCATCCATCCATCCATCCATCCATCCATCCATCCATCTATCCATCCGTCCATCCATCCATCCATCCATCCATCCATCATCCACCTATCCATCCATCTATCCATCCATCCACCCATCCATCCATCCATCCATCCATCCATCCATCCATCCATCCATCCATCATCCACCTATCCATCCACCTATCCATCCATCTATCCATCCATCCACCCATCCATCCATCCATCCATCCATCCATCCATCCATCCATCCATCCATCCATCCATCATCCACCTATCCATCCACCTATCCATCCATCTATCCATCCATCCACCCATCCATCCATCCATCCATCCATCCATCCATCCATCCACCCATCCATCTATCCATCCGTCCATCCATCCATCCATCCATCCATCATCCACCTATCCATCCATCCATCCATCCATCCATCCATCCATCTATCTATCTATCTATCCATCCATCCATCCATCCATCCATCCATCCATCTATCCGTCCATCCGTCCATCAGTCCATCCATCCATCCATCCACCTATCCATCCATCCATCCATCCATCCATCCATCCATCCATCCATCCATCCATCCATCTATCCGTCCATCCGTCCATCAGTCCATCCATCCATCCATCCATCCATCCATCCATCCATCCGTCCGTCCATCCATCCATCCATCCATCCATCCATCATCCACCTATCCATCCATCCATCCATCCGTCCGTCCATCCATCCGTCCATCCATCCATCCATCCATCCATCCATCCATCCATCATCCACCTATCCATCCATCCATCCATCCATCCATCCATCCATCCATCCATCCATCCATCCATCTCGGGTCTCGGAGGTATCAGTTCCAGCAGAGAGCCCCAAACGTTCCTTTCCCCTCATCAACCAGCTCTGACTGGGGGGTCCCAAGGCGCTCCCAGGCCAGAGAAGAGATATAATCCCTCCACCTGGTCCTAGGTCTGCCCCTCGGTCTCCTCCCAGCTGGACGTGCCTGGAACACCTCCCTAGGGAGGCGCCCAGGTGGCATCCTTACTAGGTGCCCGAACCACCTCAACTGGCTCCTTGAGACGCGAAGGAGGAGCGGTTCAACTCCGAGTCCCTCCCGGATGACTGAACTTCTCACCTTATCCCTAAGGGAGACGCCAGCCACCCTGCGGAGATAACCCATCTCGGCCGCTTGTATCCGCGATCTCGTTCTTTCGGTCATGACCCATCCTTCATGACCATAGGTGAGGGTAGGAAGGAGAATGTCCCGGTAGACAGAGAGCTTTGCCTTCTGGCTCAGCTCTCTTTTCGTCACAACGGTAAAGCGACTGCAGTACCGCTCCGACTCTCCGGCCCATCTCACGCTCCATTGTTCCCTCACTCGAGAACAAGACCCCGAGATACTTGAACTCCTTCACTTTCTACTACATGTGCAATACTAATAACAATATGCTATATTGACTTGCAAATTACGTATCTGCTACTACGTCTTTTTGCACTATTCAATACTGCTACTGGACAGTGTTTGGACCGTCTATGTCTCTTGTAGTTGTTTCATTTGTTCTTTTTGCTGCACTGTTATTGTACATTTTTATTATCATGCTGTTGTGTTCGTTGTATCTTCTGGCACAACAATTTCCTTCGGGATAAATAAAGCCCTATCTTATCTTACAGTTGCTAAAGAAAAGTGTCTGTATTGCACATTGCAGGTCAGGGTTTAGGGTTAAATCCTGTGTGAAGCTTTAGTCTGTGTTTGGTATTTCCCGTGGCAGGTCTTTTGTCCCGGCTGGGTCGCAGCGGAGAGAAACCCTACGCTCCTCTGAATCTGATTGCAGACTTCGCCGGCGGGGGTCTCAGCTGCGCTCTGGGCATCGTGCTCGCTCTGCTGGAGAGAGAGAGGTCTGGGAGAGGACAGATCATCGACGCCAGCATGGTGAGCGCTCACTCCCATAATAATGCACTGAGTAACTGTGACAGGCCACAGTTAGAGGGATGTTTTTCTATGTCGTGCCCAATACGTTTACAAACGTTTCTTAAAGGTCCCCTATCATACTGTTCTTCATCAATACATCACAGGTCTCAGATATATCCAGAGCCTGTCTCTGATTGGCTGAAACACCAAACAGATCATTGCAGCATTACCCATAATCCCCTCTGTTTCAGCCCTGTTTCCAAAGTGCTGATTCTCTGTCTGTTACTTTAGATGAAAATAAGGAGCCCCTCCCCACGCCCCTCTGAGAGAGATTTGGTTACAAAGAACTCAATGGTGATCTAGGAGGAGATTCAGGTGATAAGGGGGGGGGGGTTACCTTGGTTGCTGATTGGCTAATGGTTACACAAGACAAAACATCGTTATGACATCATAAAGTGGCCACTACACGACATACTGATATACACCTGAAAATAGTTTTTTAGATAATAATGTGAATAATGTTCCAAAAATGCATAATGCAAATGGAATATCACTCAAAAATAATCGTAATTAGTTATATTTAGTTAGTTAGTTATTTACCACATCATGAAGCCCTAGAAGTGACAATAGAGGATACACAAGAATCATAAAGTTGTAAACTGACAACGTCCAGTTAATGGCAGTGGAGACGGTTAACAAACAGTGAGACACAGTTGGAGATATTGTTGGAGTTTAACTGAAAGGTGCTTCTTTTAGAAAACATCAAACAAAGACTCCAGGTCGAGGACGTGTCTCACATCAGAAAGATGTTCATGCCCCTCGGCGTCCAAACTTTATGAAGTTATCCGAAGTGTTAGATGCAGTACGCCTTCAGATGATGAAGTAAATCAAAGTGTCTGAGTCTGACTGTGAAATGAAGCTGCTGCAACACAGAGAAACATTTCTACATTATAATGATCTCCTTAGTCGTTGCTTAACTTTTTGATACAGAAACTACATATTTACACATAGTAAAACATTGAAATGCATAGCAAGGCAAGGCAAGGCAAGTTTATTTATATAGCACCTTTCAACACAAGGCAATTCAAGGTGCTTTACAAAAATGAAAGACATTCAGAAAAAGGCATTTAAGCTGTGAACATGAGCTGTGTACGCTTGTATGACACATACGTCCCGAGCAGCATACACAGAGGAAACCAGCCAGAGTCCCCAGACACTGATCCCCTGGGGTTACTAGCCCCAAATGTTCATTCACCAAAAACGAAACACAACCGCTCAGTTTCAATTTAAAAGCAGCGGCAAAAAGAAAAGTCTTCAGCCTGGATTTAAAAGTAGTCAGAGTTGCAGCGGACCTGCAGGTTTCTGGGAGTTTGTTCCAGATATTTGGAGCATAATAACTAAACTTCTCCATGTTTAGTTCTGACTCTGGGGACAGAGAGCTGACCAGTCCCTGAAGACCTGAGGGTTCTGGATGGTTCATAATTTAGCAGGAGGTCAGACATGTATTTTGGGCCTAAACCCACATTTAGAAATCTATTCTTTGACACACAGGAAGCCAGTGTAAGGACTTCAGAACAGGACTGATGTGATCCACTTTCTTTAGTGTCAGTGAGGACTCGAGCAGACACTAAAATGTGTTTTATTTTATTATTGGATCATATTTTTTGTTGGGTTGCTTTAAAGTCAAGCTTCAGTTTAAGACTCACCCTGTAATAGATGTAGAACATGTGATGGAGCATTACTAACCTGACTCAGACGGTTTGTTTCACCAAAAACATCTAGGAAAGCTCCATTGGAAGCCATTTGGAAAAGGGCAAGCACTTTCAAAAATACTTGGCAGGTGATTGGATCAATCACCTTCTATCATGGGCCACTTCTGATTGGTTAACAATGGCTGGTACATGTGGAGCACAGCACTTCTGATTGGTGTGGATGACTGACACACAAGAAGAAGAATGTAAAGGCAATGTAAGAGAAAACAAGACCGGGAAATAATATATAATAAATATATATATATACGTGGATGTGGAAAATATACATGCAGGATATTATTGTGCAAGTAATGGATTAGTCAATATTAAATAGGAGAAGATTATAAGTCAACAACAAACACAGATGGTCTTTCTGCTGGAGCCCTATTGTCATTATTCTCATTATTTCTTCGTATTTTTCTCGACTGAAATTCTTCGTACTCACAGAAATTGCTCACAGAAATTGCTCACAGAAATTGCATTGACAGTTGCAAGTTCCTCCCACTGTGTTGATGCAGTTCTGCACAACGTGGCAGCGTCTGAGCTCATTTCACAGCCACAGACCCTGCTGGCAGATACATCTCGCCTCAACACCAGCAGCCAAACCATGGGGAGGTTTGATCATTGAAAGTTGAAGCACTAGCGATTTTTGCAGCAGAGAAACGCACGAGACAATCAGCACTTATTTACAAATGTAGGGAGGAAGCAGCATGCAACTAGCACGCTTCTCGCTACCAATACCACAACCAAACATTATACTGTATGTACTTCAATGTACTTCAATGTATTACTCTTTGCATACTTGTTTTAGTTTAATATCTAAGAAGAATCAGAAACCCATACATTTACAGCAAAGAGGAAAGTTCAAATAAAGGACTAACTTATTAAATACAAAGGCAAGCACATATATAATAATCAAATAAGTACACATCCACGGTTGCAGCCATTAATAACAATAATAAGCTGTACTTATAAGCTGTAGTGTTTCATGTATTAGTTTGAAAAACATTAACTTCATTTATTCAAGTTTCCTCCAAAAAACTAAAATGTACTAAACTACATTTAAACGTATCGTTATTATGTTTCCCTTTCCCTTATACTCGTATGTTCTTGACGATCTGAGTACTTCTACTTTTACTCAAGTACAAGATCTGAGTACTTCTACTTTTACTCAAGAACAAGATCTGAGTACTTCTACTTTTACTCAAGACCTGAGTACTTCTACTTTTACTCAAATACAAGATCTGAGTACTTCTACTTTTACTCAAGTACAAGATCTGAGTACTTCTTCTTTTACTCAAATACAAGACCTGAGTACTTCTACTTTTACTCAAGTACAAGACCTGAGTACTTCTACTTTTACTCAAGTACAAGACCTGAGTACTTCTTCTTTTACTCAAATACAAGACCTGAGTACTTCTACTTTTACTCAAGTACAAGACCTGAGTACTTCTACTTTTACTCAAGTACAAGACCTGAGTACTTTTACTCAAGATCTGAGTACTTCTACTTTTACTCAAGTACAAGACCTGAGTACTTCTACTTTTACTCAAATACAAGACCTGAGTACTTCTACTTTTACTCAAGTACAAGACCTGAGTACTTCTACTTTTACTAAAGACCTGAGTACTTCTACTTTTACTCAAGATCTGAGTACTTCTACTTTTACTCAAGATCTGAGTACTTCTACTTTTACTCAAGACCTGAGTACTTCTACTTTTACTCAAGACCTGAGTACTTCTCATAACACACAGTTGTGTCCTCTGAATACTCTAATGTTCACGGCTTGTTTTCGTTTGCGACACTTCCTTGTAATTACGATGCCTCTCCGATCCAAAGCCCAGACGCCATCACAGGAACGCCATCTGCCTGAGAATTACAAGTCGTGACACAGAGAGAACTGCTGCCATGACATGTAATCCTCCTCAGCTGTACACAAACAGTCAGTCAAATGCAGGCTACAAGTCGTATTATTGCTCTCCATTCAACCGTCCTCTCTCAGTAATTGCGTAAACTGCAGCCATTCCCAGCATGCACTGCATTAGGATGTTGGCATTCATCTAAATTCACACCTGTGGGTCATTTAGAAGCAATTAACAGAGGCAAACAAAGCCATTTATAATCAATATTTCTATATTAATATGAACAATGTGGACGTGGTTGTTATAAAGCACATGTGTCAAACTCAAGGCCCGGGGGCCAAATCAGGCCCTTGGTGGATTTAATTTCTGCCCGCAGGATAATTTCTAATTACTATTAGATCTGGCCCTCCGGTATATTGCACGCACACCTTCACTCCATCCTGAGGGTCTCCTCAGCTCAGAGCCTGACCCCAAACATTGATGAACTTGCACCCAAGATGAGATGCCAAGTATCTGAGCTAGCATCACAGAGCAGCACACTGAGTTTACATGGATGTTTCCTTTTCTTGAGACAACAGGGCATGTTTGGTTTTCTCTTTGAGGGAAATAGTTTTGTTGAAGCTGTTGTTGGCCTGTGGAGAAATGTAATCATAAGAAATGACTCTGGACAAGCTGCAGAGAGAGCCATAAGAAATGAATGCAACTGATTATTTAATGTTGTTTTTATAGGCAATCATTTAAGCTTAGTTAGTTCCAGGTTTAATATGTGCAATAAGTTCATTTCAATAAGTTCTGCAATAAACATTAAACCAGTCCGGCCCTCGACTAGCACCCATTTATTTATTTTGGCCCACTGTGTGTTTGAGTTTGACCCCCCTGTTATAAGGGATGTATCTGCAGCTCCATTCAGCCTTACGGAGCTTTTTATTGCTCATTGTTTAGCTAAGCACGATCAAAAAAGCTCAACATATTGATCTAAAAGGTGATGACACGTCAATGGATTTCTTTCTGCGACCCTGAACTGGACAGAAACATCAGTTATTGCAGGTTTCCATGAAGGACCAACTGCACTAGACACTAACAAGGACTCCATGTGCGTCACTGTGCATTGTCAAATCTTCTATCCAGTCTCAATAATTGCGAGGGCTGCAGCCATCCCAGCATGCATTGCATCAAGCCGTAGGCCACGTACATTACTCTCAGCAGAGGTTGAAGACACATTTCATCTAAATTCACAGCTGTGGGTCATTTAGAAGCACTTTACAGGGCGAACAACGCCGTTTATAATCAATATTTCTATATTAACAATGTGGAAATGGTTGTTATAATTGATGTATCTGTAGCTCCATTCAGCCTCACGGAGCTTTTTATTGATTTTATGGGTAATTGGTTAGCTGTAGGTCAAGTT